TAACTTCTTGTATGTAGGAGTTCGATACAACATTGTTACAGAGATTTGAATGGGAGGATTTTCTTCACTAGGGCCGGATTCATGATCATGGGTACGTCTACTATTCCTATTTGGCCACGAGAAGGATTTTTTCTACGTGAAGAGGAAGCCATAGAATAGAAATTTTGAATGCTCAAGAACCATTCAATGGAAATAAAATTTAAAATTCCAAGAATTTGTGCAAATAAAAACTAATTTTATTTGCACATCCAGTCAAGTTATGAGTGCTAAGAAACTTCATTCTAGAGACCCCAGAACAGTTAATGAGCATCAAGCAAAAAGGTTTTGGAATTGATAAAATCAGCCATAAAATGTCAACCCAAGATGGAACTTGAATGGAATCGTAGTAAAATTTGCAATTTAGAGCATAGATTCACAAAGCCAACCCAATTTATGTTCAAATCAGTATATAATATTTCTAGGGTTTTGAGGGTTTGACAGAGATGAGATTGATAAAGATACAAAGAGATATTCAAGCTTGAATAATGATGCCAATGAACATCAAGAAAGCATGAATTTAAGAGAATGAACAATGAAATCTTACCAAAGATGATGAATTTAGTATTTGTGAAGAAGAAAGATAAATGGCGAATTTAGATGAAATGAGCATGATGAAAGAGCAAAAGAAACAAATTAAGAGCAGGAATATATATAAATTGAAGAGGGAATTTCATGGATTTAACATACCAGTGAAGGAACCCATCATATGGAAGAATTCGCCCAAAGCAAGATGAAGTCTCCTAAGTCAGTTTGCTCTCTGGAATGTTTCAATAATGACCCCAAATTAGGAAGTGCCGAGATATAATGGGAATAGGACACTTGAAGGGAGCCGGCTCAACCATGATCATGGAGCCGGCTCAACCATGATCATGGAGCCGGCTCTTGAATTTTTCTCAATTTTCTGCAAGTTTTTGCAATTGAAGATGCAAAAGGATTTGGAGATTGATGTGCTTATAAAATATATGGAATGAGACTAAAGGATAAGAAGATTGATGTGCTTAGTTGGAGTCGGTGGTTCTAACTAATTCTAACTTTTTTTTTCCATCCATATCAGTGGTTAGGTTGTATATAACTTCTAGCACTTTAATTCTTGACTACTACTCAAACACTAATTTCTTGCATATGTTACATAGAACTAGTTAAATTTAGATCATTCAGAAACATAAAATTTGTTTATATTCCAAAAATCTAAATCATTCACATATCGAAATGGGTCAATGAGTTAGGAATTTAGTAGAACAAACTACTACTAAAAGAGGGATGAAGCAATGAGAATAAAATTTCCAGAGATGACATGCATACACACCATGAGGTAATGAATACATGTTCAAATTATTTCATATTTTAGCAGTCAAATACAACAAATCTACCTCCCATATGATTGCTGATTGATCGCGGGATGATGAGGCTAAGTACTTCCCATTATGCGAAAAGCGCAAAAACCAGACTTCATCAGAATGTTCTTGCAATAACTGTGTTATCAGGAGTAACAGAAGCAGTTAACAACAATTCCCGCAGTGATAAAAAGAAACCAAATTTACAATAGATACTGCAGATTAATAGACTATGTAGTCCATTCAACATAAAGAAAGATTTTTATTTTTATTTTGAAAAAAAGAAGGAAAAGAACAAAAAAGATAAGAAAAAGAAGTTAACAAACAAGATTTCAAGCTGAGGTAGAAAACATAGATAACGATTGTTGATGATGTGTTTCAAAGAATAAATAAATAAAATAATGATCATTGTAATCTATAAAAAATAGTCATCACAGTATTTTTAATCCCAAATTCTGACCAATATCCGTATTACCCCTGAAATACAAACATGTAAATGTGATTGTCCTCAATTTTCTATGACATGATGAATTTCTCATTCTAATTTTCAAGATAAAATCAAATCGTACACAAAAAGTACTGTATTCTCCCCATTCCCTAGTTCGCTAGATGCTAACAATGTTCCAACCTAACTCTTCATATATGGCACAATTGCCAGGGCCTTCTCTAAAACCTCAGTCTTGCCTCTAGTGTCATCACATGCCTCTGACCCTACCTCTTTGAAATTCAAACAAGTATACATACTTAGCAGCTGCAACGCATCATTGCCTTTTCATATCATGTATCCAGTACTCTGATCCCTTCCTTCCCCACTCCCATGCTCTTACATGCATACCCATCATGCATGTAAGGAGAGTGAGGACACAGCCCGCGAAAAGGAGCGGAATATGTGAATGATTGAGAGGTGCCGAGTGGAGCCGGCTCTTCCTTTTTGTAGAGCCGGCTCCACATTTTTTTTGGAGCCGCCTCAACTAATTGCTGGAGCCGGCTCTCTTGGGCATTTGAGAAATCCCGAGAGTTGGTGTATGCAGGCCAATAAAGGAGCCGGCTCAACCTATTTCTAGAGGCGGCTCTTCTTGGAGATGCCGAGAGCTCCAATTTAGGGAAAACAATAGAGCCGACTCTTCCTTTTTGTGGAGCCGGCTCTATTGTCTGCAGTGGAAGATCCTGAGAGTATAGACATTGAGAATTTTTACAATTAGTCTGTTATGCATTTCTAAAGATGCAAATTAAACATCACTGTTAACACTCAGTTTATTATTATACAGTTAAATTCAAATATTGTTGTTTCCTTTTTTTTCTATGTCATTTCGGTTTTTTTCTTCTACAAATGGAACCATTTGAAATCTCCATTCTCATTTGTTAATATTTTACCAGATTTTGCAGTTTGAGCTTCATATGTGATATCATCATCTTCTGAATTTAATGTTGGGAGGTGATAAATGTACTCTAGCTAATACACTGCACTTGAATATGAAATTACAACAATAACATTTTAATTAATCAGAGTATAAAGAATATTTTTGTCATTTAATTTTAGTGAGGAAAAAAAAAAAAATGAGAGTGCATCCATCATTTTTTTCATTATATTGATCAAGTTCAGGGTTGGATAATGTAGTCCTCATGTGGTTCTCACATGATGCAGTTCTTACTATGATTTGGCTGTTGCGGCCTGTATGGTAGTTGAAGGGAGCTGACTAATTTCTCATAATTGGGGTTGACAACCTTACGTATAGCATTAATATATTGAATTTGAAAAATAAGTATAGCATCAATATATTGAATCTGAAATTTAAGTATAGCATCAGTAGTATATGCTGTAATTCGAAGCAAAGAAATCTATTTCACTCTGCTTTGATAACCACTGACACAACTGCAATTTCAAAGGAAAATGAATGCTACGCAATCAACAAAAGACACCTCAATAACCACAAACATCACCTGCTAAATAAAACCAAAAGACCAGAAATATAATCATTATAAAATTCCATAACCAAAAGAGTAGATAATAATAATTACATCATAGTCAAGTTCCTAGATTTACATCATTGTAAAAGGTTTCCAATACATACTTTTTCCGTAATATAACAACACAAAGTTTCACCAACAAAAAAGGAATTCATTACATTCCCAGAAGTGTTTCTCAAAAAAGGAACCTATACCCAACAAAAAGAAAGACTACCCATCATCAATCAGCATCATGTTGAACCATACATCATTTTCTCCAAAATATTCTTACGCTTTGCAACTGGAACACCAAGGAATATCCTTGTTTGATCAGGATGGTTAGCGAGATAAAAGTAAGCATCATCAATTAAAAATGGCTCAAGTCCAATTGATTCTAGCTCATTATAGATTTCCTCCTCCGAATGCACCTTACGATTATACTTTCCATAAAGAGCATTTCCCTCTTTAATAGATTCTGCAACAGAGGAAATTGCATTTGCTATGTCTTGGGTATCATTAGAGACACCACGTGAAGACCGTTTCCTCTTTCCTTTTGCACTTGAAGATGCAATAGAAGTTGCCTTAGGGGACATTGTCCTTTCAATCTCATCAGCCACATGCTCAACATTTTCCAAAGTCACCTCATTTTCTGCTACTAGCTGATCAATACCATCAATACTTCCCATTAACTCGTCATTGGTTGAGCTAGCCCATTGAAAACGTTTCTCCTTAGCAGTTGCAGCCTCATCACCCGTCGCTCTATCTTTTGCAAACAACTCTAGCAACTTATCATAGTTGTTAATAGGTGTAGTTCTCCATTTCTCCGCTTGCGGTTTTGCCTATTACAAGCATATAAATATATATATATATATATGCTAAACATTTCATAGTGTAAAACATTCTTTGGGTAAAACAACGACACTAGAACAACATAGAAAAAACATTTCAAGAGTTTCCATATGAATTAGGCCTTAAACATACTTTAATAGTAAAAATAACTCTAAATTAATAAAAAAAAAAAAATAGTACCTCAATCAATGAATTCCAAACCTCTGGCTCCGCACTCCACATCTTTGTCTCACGACTCCAAGCAAATCCGCTCAATCCATTCTTAAACAGGTCATACCACTCATTGAAATGAGTCTTTATAGTCTTCAATCGATTCTTAATCCTATCTTTGGTAAAATCCATTTCAAGTTTTGCACACAATTCTTTAACCATTTCATCATATGCTTTACTAGTAAAAGTTCCATCAACCCTATTCCCTTTAATATGTTGGTAATACAGCACATCAATGAATGCATCTTCCATTTGTTGCGTCCAAACAAACCTATCTTTCTTGTTCCCTTCATTTTTGTTTGTTGTGTTACTCATTTTCTTATCTACATAAGAAATTAGCAAATGAGTAGAATCTAATGTAAAATTTCAAAATAGAGTGTGACCAACAAAAATAATAATAATAATAATAATAACATCATGACAAACAAATTAACATGAGTAATATAAGATATCGACTATGCTTTTTCTTCTTTAACAATATATCATCAAATCAAACTTGAGCTACCAATAAAGTCTTAGTAAAGACCAAGTACTTGTCATAAGAGAAAATAAATAAAACTAGGGTTTTAAGCATTTATCAAACAAGCAAAAGATTTAGACTTATAACACACATAACATTAGTCACATTTGATTTGCTACATAGTCATTCCACATGTTCATTGCAATGATGTCCCTTATATGTTCTCCTTCAACAATATCCCTTGGAGTTCGATCATCATCTACATCTTCATCTTCATCTTCAACTTGAACTTCAACTTGGTTTAAGAGTTCCCGATCTACTTCATCAATATGTCTTTCATCAGGATCAACGCCCATTAAATAATTATGCAGAATGCAACATGCAAGGATAATCTCTGTTTGTGTTTCGATTGAGTAAGTGGGCTCAGTTGTGCTTCCTATAATTGGAAATCGTTTCTTTAATACACCAAATGCTCTCTCGATCGCATTACGTAACGACGCATGTCGTAAGTTAAACAATTCCCGAGGATTTTCAGGTCGATGTGAAGCAAATTCTTTCAAGTGATATCGAACACCTCTATAAGGCGTGATAAGTCCACCTCGTAGCATATATCCACCATCAACAAGATAATATTTACCTATTAACAATAAAAGTTGTTATCATTGAATAACTATAAATCAGAAAATAATATTTTATAAATTTTATATAGAAATTACCTTTAGGGATTCTCAACTTATCCTTTCTTTCAAATGCACTCTTAATTACTCTCGAGTCTGATGCAGTCCCTTCCCATCCAGGCAAGACATATGTGAATCTCAAGTCAAATGAACAAGCAGCTAACACATTTGTGGTTGGAAAATTCTTTCGACCACGATATCTTGGAGCGTCTTCAGTAGGTACTCTCACACGAACATGTGTTCCATCAATCGCACCCACACAATTCTGATATAAATTTATTTTATAAATTTTTTATATCAACATATGTATAAAAATTTTAAAATAAAATTATAATTTTACCTTGAAGTATGGATAGAACCTACTATTGCTAAGTATCTTCGGAGGGATTTGTAAACCATTAGGCTGTCGGAGAAATTTTTCTTCTAACGAGATTATTGACCTTAACACACTATGGAAATGGTGACTTGTAGTTTCACCGGAGCGACGAAAAAAAAACTGAATCGTGCGATTCCTCACATTGTGTGATAATATGTGAAGAAATTTTGCAACTTGTTCTTCAACTGATGCATTTTTTGTTGCCTTAAGACCAGCATCCCTTTTAAGAATCTCACATAAATTTTGGAAAGCCTCTGGTCCCATTCGAGTTATATCACGACATCTTTGATTTGTCCTAAGTTGGTTCATAAGTTCATTTCGTACCATTTCTCTTTCAAAAGTTGATTGTCCAGTGAGTCGATTAACATAGTTTCTCCTTTGAAACTTTTTCCGTAAAAGCCAATACACAACCAAACAAATAACTTGAGTTGCAGCCAAACGCCTTCTTTGTTCCCACAAAAACCATTCATTTGTTGCCATATTATTTCGCCTCTCCATCTACCATTTCAAGACTTGTTGTCACCCTCAAAATTCAATAAGTGTAGATTAATAAAATAAGGGTATAAGACACACTCAACAAATATATGATGTTCTGATAGTATATATATATAAGAATACCCACCCAAACATAACCTATGATAATTATATGACACTTATGATCAGACATAAACCAATTGATTATGTTGGTATTGCAACAAAAATCTAGTTGCAATATTTCAAATAATGACCATAATAAGACATAATTCGGACTGTATCAATGACATTCTCATTATGGCATGCTGTTTTTCATAATATTTCATGTCCATAATAGCCCACTACAACTTCATAACACCTGACCAGGGCGTGAAATAAAAATAGAATATGCATTTTTTTTCTTCTCAAGTTTCCTAGTTGCTTTTAAACCTTTTTTCTTAAATCCCTCAGGAAATATGAACAAAACTTTGCAAGGACTAAATATATTCAAAAGGCACTGGGACTGCATATTAGTGGGGTTATTACAGTTTGCCATGTGAGTTCTCCCCCCTACAGAATAAGGATTATCAAGTGTGTGTGTGTGTGTGTTTTTTTTTTTTCTTTCTAAATTCACATTAACTATAACAAAAAGATAAAAGAGAGAAACCCACAAAATTACAGAGTTCACAAGAAAACCATCGACATAATTAAAGATAATCGCAGGAATTTTTTTCCGTAGAATATAACAAATCTCCAACTGTATACGGACAAATCTTAAGGAAAAAAAATAATAATAAAAGAGGAAAACTTAGATGGATTGAAGAAACACACCTGAACATCGAATACTCCAAGAAGATGATGAATTCAGATGAATTTTCGAACGGTTTGCGTAGCTCCAAAGCCGGTGTTTGTAAACCAATGAATTTAACCGTTACAAACCTTTCCCTTCTATCTCTATCATCAACTTCCTACTCCTGCACAGAGACCATGCAGTGAACCCACTTCCCCTTCTCTCTCTCCCATACGTGAACCCACTTCCCCCTTTTCTCTCTCCTATTTCTTCTTATACCAGTGAATTTTGGCGCCTTTGTTCCCGCGCTGAATATACGCCTTCCTTTGTTCCAGCGCTGAAGACAGGCCCTAATATGAAGAGCAAATTTGAGGGTAAAATTGGCCTAACAAATATTTTGATAGCCATTGCCTGCCATTCCCTTCCCTTTCCTTCCTTATCCTCCCAATTTTGAAAGGTTAAGAAATTACTGTACGCCTTCTTATAAATAACCCTCCAAACCCCTCCCTCTCCTTCCCTTTCCCTCCACTAACTTTATCTAAACACAACTTTTTTATTACCCTCCATCCCCTTCCCTTCCCTTTCCCTTCAAACCCATCCTACCAAACTGACCCTTAGAGAACCTTCTCGAAACATATATACACCCCATATTTTTTCCCCTATATTTTTTCTCTCTACATTCTGGTTAAATAAGAGTAATAGTAACCTTATCTTTTCTCGTCAAAATATGAGTCTAGTACTGAAGCTGACGAATCTATCTGACCTGTCAGCTTCTCATTAGACTTGACTTCTCTTCAGCTTGCTCGCTAAGTTTCAGCTATTCTCCAAGATGCCCCTACACTTTTGTACGAATCTCACCTGATTTCACCCATTTGGCCCCACCTATGGGACTTAACTGTAATTGCAGGGGATTCCACGCGGTAGATACGCTCCATTTAAACGCGTGAATCTCTTATTCCTATGTCCATTTATGTTCCAACTCTCTCTCTCCACTTTCCCCTCTCTATCACACCATACGTCTCTACATCTCTTCCCCTCCACTTTCTCAGATGGCTTCAGACTGATTCATCAATGGAACCGTACTGTTTCACCATATATCTTCCTGATTTTACTCTAGGGTTTTTGTTCCTAAACTTGTCTTCTCTCCCAGCAGAGTGCTTTCGCCGTTGATGTTCTTTCCGATCTCTACCCATCTCACTCTCTCTCTACACTTTCCTCTCTATCACACCATATGTCTCTACATCTCTTACTCTCCACTTTCTCAGATGCTTCAGACTGATTCATGAATGGAACCCTAGTATTTTTCTATACCTCAGTGTCAGTGTCGGCCCAGCAGAGTGCTTTCGCCGTTGGTGTTCTTTCCGAACTCCACACATTTCACCCCTCCACCGGAAATTCCATCTGCCCCTACCGCACTCCAGCTTGGTAGTTTCCGCCGCCTGTCCAGGGTTGAGCCCTGGGATTTGACGGCGGACTTAAAAAGCCACCTACAGACGCTTTAAGCCCAATCATTCCGGATAATCGTTTGCATCCTCTGTATTACCGCGGCGTATTGTTTTTCTTTTCCTCTCAAAGCTTTATATTACTCTATTTTCTCTTTCTAGATTCTTAGTTTTAGGTCGGAATTAAAACTGTCATGTCCTACAACGAAACGCGGGTAGGGTTCAGATTTCGTCCGACCGACGAAGAACTCGTTGATCACTTCTTGAGGTTTAAGATCAACGGTGATGAGAGGAAAGTGCGTGATATTCGTGAGGTCGATGTTTGCAAATACGAACCCTGCGATTTACCTGGTATGTAATATCAATATATCCCAAATATAAGACTATTATTTCCTCACTTCCCTCAAGTTTTTAGGTTCTTCATTGATTTTGTGTAAATATGATGGAATTATATATTTATATATATAATATTTGTTGATTATCTATTTGTATGCAATCTGTCAAATATTTCCTGGTATCTAATACGAATCTATTACAAATAAAAGATATCATGTCTTCACTTTCAAACAAGGTTTTGGTTTTGTGTTATATATACATGTATGTGCATTTTTGGGGGTTTTCATTGATTATCTCTAAAAATGACCGGATGTTTATATATATATATATATATATATATATATATATTTAATGTTCATTTTTGTGTTTTTCATGGAGTATCGGTAAAAATGGCCAGATTTTGAATATACATGTAGCATTTTGGGATCTTTGTTTGGTTTTCTGTAAAAATGACCGAAATATTGTATTATATGGTGATGTATATATGCATTCTAGATTAATGTGGGTTGAAGTTCATACAGCTGGCAATTACTGAATTTTGGGGCAATTTTTTTTCAAAATTTTTTTCTCGTCCTAGTTACTTTTGGGACAATTTGTTGAAATAGGAAATTGAACTTTTTCAAATTCTTTGTTTGGTGTGTGCAGATTTCTCGACGATAAAGTCTAATGATAATGAATGGTTCTTTTTCTGTCCGAAGGATCGGAAGTATGTGAATGGGCAGAGGCTGAACAGATCAACAGAGCATGGATACTGGAAAACAACGGGTAGGGATCGGAAGATCAAGTCTCGTACGAGCGTAATTGGTACAAAGAAGACTTTGGTCTTCCATACCGGGCGTGCTCCAAATGGCAGCAGATCCCGTTGGGTTATGCATGAGTACCGTGCTACTAGCAAGGAGCTTGATGGCACGAAACCAGGACAGGTATGCTTTGAACCCTTTCTCTCTGTCCATTTTGATTGTATGTTGCTTTGATCTTAAAATTTGGATGGTTTTAGATTAAGTATTGGCTATGTCATGTGTTTCTGTCTTGGTATGTGGATACTTCGAGTACTTGACATCTATTAGCTCGAATCATGTTTAGTTGGTGTAACTAATTTGTGAATTAAAAGACAAGAAACATTGTATACTTATTTGTGGTTCAAGTGAACTTGGTTTATGAGGGAGTTCTTTCTTCTTTCTTTGTGAAATGAAATTATGGAATGGATTCGATCCTTGTTGGAGGTCTAGTTGAAATACTTTGCAGCATGGAACAACTTTCTCCACTTGGTAATGTTAGAAAATTCTTGTTTTTAGCTGAAGGAAAATTTTACTGATTGTTCTATTTATTATGATAGGTTAGAAAATTCTTGAATTACCTACCACCAAGGGCTTCTGTAGCCTAGTGGCATCTCCTCCACTACTTTGGGATGCAAATGAATTTTTCGCCAAGTGGGAAAAAAATTATTGTATTTAATTGAAGGAAAATTTTGGTGATTGTTCCTTACTGAAACAAAAAATTTACTGATTGTTCTTTTTATAATTTTTCAAAGTACCTGCGGATTAGTTGATTCTTCTTCTATTCTGTTTAATAGTTTGTTTTCTTGTACTGCTATGCCAGGCTTGTATTTTTTATTGGAATTCAAGCAAGTAATATGCTTCAGCTTCGATGTTTAAGTTTGTTACTAAATTTTGAAAATAAGGAGTTTACCTTTCAAAATTTGTCAATTTAGTGTCCTCTTTTATTTCAAAACTACTGCTTGGGTTAGATTTATATATTGTCCTTAAAATTCATGTCGCAAAAATGTTAAAAGGTTTAATGTCTATTCAGTGTGCTCCTCCTAGCTTGAACTGGGTAATTAATTACCCTTTAAATTCGTGTGTACTAAGAGAATGAAAAAAGTGTAACCCTTCTCGGCTCGATTAATGGGGACACATTGGGTAAATGACCCCTTAAATTCATGTGTACCAAGGGAAATCGACCTGATAAATGTTCATTCAGATTCTTGATTTTCTCACGGCCGCATTTTTTATGCTCAAACAATTTGTATTCAAATACTGGAACAGCTTGTGAATATATATTGGCTGTATATTGGAGCAGAGATGTTCAATATATTATATTCATTTTTTGTATTCTATGTATTCTGCAGGGTGCCTTTGTCCTCTGTCGCCTTTTTAAGAAACATGATGAGAAGCAAGATGATGTCATTGAAGGTTCAAACTGTGGTGAAGTTGAAGATAATTTTCCTTCTCCTGGGTTGTGTGAGTATCAACTAGGAAAAAAAGATGTTCCTTCTCCTGCCACAGTTAAATCATATGCTGAAGATATACAATTGGAGGCAGTAAACCCTGTGATGACAGCAGAAGCTGAAAATCAAACTTATAGTAATTCTGAAAGCATACTATTTGACACTCCATTACCTTCTGAGAGTGACAACAATATCCATATTAATGATGATGCTGAAGATCAAGTGACAGATGTGCAGGTGAAAAGAGTGAAGATTTTCTTAATATTATCAAATCTCATTTTTTGTGGAGACTGAAAAATCTAATTAAGTATTTGAATTTTTATTTATTGATTCCCACTCAGCCGGATCCAGAGCTGGAGGAAATGTTGGAAGCATTTTGGGACCCAGTGCTGGGGCCACCAGATGAAAAAATCTTCTCTCCATTGCATTTGCAGATGCAGATGGAGCTTGGATCTTCTTACTCGAATTTCCCGGCCACTAATAACACAAGCGATGACCACAATGGGGTTCAGTTTCAATATGGATCAAATGAACTGGATACTGAATTCTTGGATTCAGTTCTTGTTAATTTAGGAGAGCACACCTTTAGTCACAATTTGGATATTGAAAGTGAGATCCTGAACTATAATACTCCCACAAAGCAGTATGCTGCTATTTCATCAGTGGCCCAAGGACAGGTAAATTGAAGATCCCACGATCCTTCATTTTTAAGGTTTTGCAGGTCCACGACCATACTCGAGAATTTTGTCAATCTACATTTTTTACACATGCCATGAATTGCAATGTCTTTTATTGTGTATTATTTTCTCATTCAGCATCGTGATTTCAGATTAGTTCTTAGAAACTTAACCTTTTTGTGGCTCTCCTGTATTCCAGTTTGATCCAGTGATGGAAAGTTCTGAATGGTTTGGTCAGAACTTCAGCAGAACGGCTCCTACAAACATGGAAACGTCCCCAGGAACTTGGGGAACTCCTCAAATTTGTGCTATTTCGCATGGTAGTGCTTCTGGTTTCCTGGAAGGTGATTCTGTTGGATTGGGTGCTTTAGCTGCTGATTCTACTGGTGAGTGTAATGCTTTGTCTGCTGAATCAAGCTCTTGTGGCAGTGCAGTTGGTGGTGTCGGGATTGTTGAAACTGGAATTAAAAGAAAAACTAGAACTCGTCAACTGCAAAATCAACCGAGTACCCAAAAATCTGCTGCATATGGAACTGCACCAAAAAGAATCCGTTTGCAGAAGAAACTTCAAGTGGGACCAGTTTCCTGTATCAACTTGTTAAGCAACAGTAAAGAAAACCATGATGCCAAACCAACAGTGACTTTGGTGAGTTGTCCATTGCCGAAGTGTTTGTGAAGAGTTTCATAATGCATATCAGAAGGGTTTTAACTCTCTTTAATTGCTCCGTGCAGACTGAAAATGTTACGGAACAGTGTGCTTCTGCTTCTGCTGATGCAGCACCTACCATCGATGAAGTCCAAGAAGTATCCCTTTCAGAATCCATCAATGACAGAAAATTTACTCAAAAGCTCAATATGGGTAAAGAAGAGGTCAAAAGGCACTACTGTGATGGGCAATGCTGAGAAGGTTCTCTCTGCTTCCTCAGAGGCTTCTCCAGTATTACTCTCAATACCATCTGTTTTTATGGGTAGGGTGTAAAGTAAAACTCTCTAGTCTTTGTCCTTCCGCCTAGCTATTCTTCTTCTTCTTCTTCTTCTTCTTCTTCTTCTTCTTCTGCATCATCGTGATCGTCATCATTCTTTTTTTAATCTCACATGAATTCTCTTTCTCCAATCTTTCCCATTACATGTTGTTTTGCCTATTATATTTAGCTTTTAAAAATCAATTAATAACTTCATTGGATGTTATTTTTGGTTTTTGTCTGTCTCTCCCCTTCTATTAAAACTATTATCCTCGCTTGCCGGTGGTGATGGTGTCGCCATCTTAAGCATGCTCTCTAATTTTCTCATTAACGGGAGCCACCCCTAATTTATCTCTCGCACTCTCATTAGTGTCCTTATCCCTCCTAGTCACTTCTCTCTCCATCTTACCATTCTCATTTCGGATACATGAAAGCTTGCTCTTGATTTTTAGGGTCCCACCGCTCCGCTGCATACCACATGGTATAATAGCGGTCCTACAGAATTTTCCTTTGATCCCACTTGGTCCAATCTTCTCCAAGTCTACTCTCTTCAGACTTGGTGGGACCAACATGGTCTGGATCTGGAAATTTTACCAGAACAACTCAGGCAATTATACTTGCCATGACAACAATTTCATCCTCAATTAAGGGGGAAAAAAATCCAATAGGCAAATCTGTCCTATTAATTTTCACAGCATCCAATTAAGGATGTATTGAAAGAGATTCTTTCAAAAACTCAAAGCATATAGAGATGCTCTTCCAAAAGAAATATTTTCTTCACCTGGAAGTGATCAATTACTTCGTCTGGAAGTAAACAAGATTTCAATACATTGAAATAATCAAACAAATGATTATTCAACAACAGCCCTGACTTAACCAGAGTTAATGGTTAAATGCATCTGTTTGATTATTAAATAATCAAACAAATGATTAGTCAACAGCAGCCATGACCTAACCAGAGTTGATGGTTAAATGCATCTGTTTGAAATAATCAAACAAATGATTATTCAACACAGCTATGACTTAACCAGAGTTAATGGTTAAATGCATCATCTGTTTGAAATTATCAAACAAATGATTAGTCAACACAGCCATGACTTAACCAGAGTTAATGGTTAAATTCATCTGTTTGAAATAATCAAACAAATGAATAGTCAACAGCAGCCATGACTTAACCAGAGTTAATGGTTAAATTGATGGAATTTATGAAAAATCAATTCATAAATTCCTTTGCACCAGAATCATCTTTTCAAGATGATTCATCCAGGATATCAGCAACATCAACATAATGGTGGACCAATAGACTGCAACTTTATGTGGCACTCACCTCCACCACCATGCGGACTTCAAAATTGTAATTTCAAGTCCGGGATTATAGTCTATAAAGGGGGAAGGTCATACCCTTGTTAAGACATCTTTCAGTTTTCTGTTCTCTCAGAGTGATATATTTCTTTTGTAAGCTGCCTATTCCAGTTCAATAAAAGATGCAACTTTCTGTAAGTGCTATATTTTTCGTGATTTATTTACCATTTTGATCCTATAAACATATTTGGTATCAGAGCCATTATGGCTTAAGATTATATTGTTAATGCTTTAAGTTATTGTTGTAATTATGTAAAGGATAATACTATTTACTATTTTTTTGTTAACCTACTTAATCTTGCTATTATTACTAGTCGTTCAAATGTTGCGTTGGAATTGTTAGAATTTTAACTCCGTTTCGCATTAAATTGTTCCATAAGTCGTTTCCGTAAATCTTTGACAGAAATTTATTATATAATATTACAATAATTATACTATATATTATGCATTAACAATCTTTTAACATAATGTTACAAGACTTTGAATAAATAAAAAATTCAGAATTAGTTTAATATGAAAATGTTCAAAATCAATTGAACAAATGGAGTATTCCCCGGTTAGGGCGAATAACATATATAAAATAGGAATGCTTGATATTGTTGATCGAAGGGCAATCAAATCAATGGAACGTAACCGAAATAATTTTATACAAAAATTTAATCTTTACTCATTAAATCACCCTTTATGATGTCAAAAGAATCTCGAATAAGTTTAATTTAAAATTTTTATTTTCTTTCAAAAATTTAATTTTTATACATTAAAATGGTCTAGTGATATAATAATTGAATATAGATTATTGTCTTCATGGGATATTGAGAGACATATGAGAACTATAAATATATACATATTAATTTAACACAAATTGTTTTTAAACCTTTAACTTTGCTTCGCATGAAGCATTCAAGCAACACTAGACGTTAGGTGTTTATATTATCGCCCTTCAATCATGGGTATAATCTCTTACCTAGATTTGAATTGATAAATGTAATTTATCCAATACATTATAAGGTATTAAATAATTTATGTCTCTTTTATTGAACTAGAATCGGCAGCTAACAAAAGAAATATTACAATAGAGAGAATAAAAAACTGAAAGATGTCCTAACAAAGGTAAGACCATCCCCATTTATAGACTATAATCCCCGGACTTAAATTACAATTTTGAAGTTCGCATAGTGGTGGAGGGTGAGTGCTAAATAAAGTTGCAGTCGTTTGGTCCACCATTGGTTTCTATTGCGGAAATATCACATATTTTATAAAAAATACAAATACAATAAATCAATTCAACATTATATAATGAAATAAAATAATAAATAATTTATTACTGAATAATTTTAAATAATACATCAATAGCACTTTACAATTCTTTCAATAAAATGAATACAACAATATAAACAGCATGAATATAAAAGATAAATAAGGGTTTAATAATATAATAATTTGCAATAAAAAATTAGTATAATAATAGAAATTATGAAATGAAAACAATATTAAAATAGGTAAGAAAGTCCAGGCCTGATATAGAAAGGCACATCATAAACACGCTGACCTAAAGCTGATAGTCCTCTCCTTCATTCGGGTATTGGTGAGACTAATTAACTCCAAAATATAACCCAATCAACTGTATCCTCCATATGCACGACCACAGGAAGAAAAGGTCTAACTCTATACGTGTCTTGTTGCCCATAAACTTAATATATTAAATAAAATATATAATACTTTCTCACCCATTTATATATTATCACTCATACATATAAAAATTAGAAAGATAGAAAAAATATGGTAGGAGTCTTTCGATGTTTTTAGCTCAATCACCCTCTGTATCTCAAACTGGTGGATGCATTATATATATATATATATAAATAATGTGTAACCGCTAAGGTGAAATAATAATTCCTGTAAAGATAATTTAACTACTATAATAAATATTATGTAACTCATATAATAATTATATTAAATATTTTTTATGTTTTTATTAAAATATTCATAACAGTCCCTACCTATTTTAATAAAAATAAATAAGTAAAATATAAATCGTTGAACAACTTTATACTATGCAATCGGCGTAGGTGCTTTCTGGGGTTGAACCTACACTTAGTGTGATAGTCTCTATTTGAGGAACCTGAATGAACCAAGTCTTAAATTTGGTCTCTTGAGCCAAACTTTAACATATCACACACATAGTATTGACGATAGACTTGGTTTGGCGGGTTAGCGCGATTAACGGCCATGCATTGATATCTTGATCCTTATGAAAGCTCTAGAGAATAGCCCAACTCCCACAGTCGCGGCCTCACGACAATTTTCACTTAGGTGGATCCTCAAAGGATATATGTGACCTATATCGTGCGAGAGTATGCTCGTCTCGAATTCATTCAGGGCAAAGACCTTCCTTAACATCACATTACGACACTGATGCCCCAGGGATGAGTAGAAAAGAATCTTCTTGAGAAACCACCTAAAAAGAGTGTTGTCAATGAGTCACGCAGTACAAATTGTTTCCACTCATTAAACTTTTCGTCATGTGATAAAATCGCCAATAAGGTTGGGTTACGTAGGTGACTCCCTTGGGGCTTAGGCTCATCCCCCTTGACATATACAGGACTATGTCCTAAGAAGACTTTTGGTCTTTTTTATATTTTTTCTTCATAACTAATTTTTTTTTTTCTTTATATTTTTCCTCTTTATATATATATATATGTGTGTGTGTGAAATATATATATATTCAAAATAATACATTACTGAATAATACCTCGTTTGAAAATTTTGAGATTGCTAGTTAGCTTTGTTTATTCTATCCGGATAGAATGTCAGTATATGATTTGGTTGCAAGATTGCAATGTTTAAAGTGGCATGAGAGAGAGTTAGTGCACACAAACAAACACACACACACCACATCAGATGAGAGAACCCACACAATTCGTGCAATCTCCCTTCGCCATACAAAACTTTAATTTTATACAATACTACTACACATCACATATAGAGTGAAATAAGAATCAATTTTCTGAACGCAACAATAGTTTGGAGTTGCTGCTCTCTCTTTGTTATAGAAGTCACTATGTCATTCCAATTTGAAAGAGCTGGGTATACGTCCAACAATTTCTTCAACATCACAATGGAAATTGTTTCAAACAGAATAATAATTTTGAGATTCGGAAAATTATCCAGCTTGACTCTCTCTAATTTTTTACCAACTTATTGAATTTGTCAAGAGGACAATTCTCTCTACGAGTACTAGAGAGAAGTTCCACTCAAGTGCAAACAGCTTCTTCTCAGTTCTTTTCCACTATCGAACCTTTATGCTTTCTCTTTTAGTATTTCTTATTCTGCCATTGTATTTGTATCTGGATGAGAAACTCTCATCATCTGTAGTGCTGGGAATTTCTACCCTTTCTTTTCCATGTTCTTCTTCAATATCTGAATTTTCCGATTCCTTCTCGAGTTGCTTCAATTTTGTACCTCTCCTAAAACCAGAAACATACTGTGTCAATTTATTTGGAATAACTTCAAATACATAATATAGATAGGATGAGTATTATTTTCTTAAGTAACTTATACGTCATCACACCCAATGAATGAGTTGTGTTTAATGTCTCAATGACGTGAAATAAATGAATATTAATTCATATAGCGGACGGTTATATATTACATTTAACAATAATACAATATGACAGCAAAACAAAATTCAGATACAATTTTCGGAAGTTACAATTTATAATGCAAATTATGAAGGCCATCGTACTCACACCCGATAGATCAAAGTGTATTGGCCACAAAAAATAAGTTATTTTTTATTAGCTATATATTACACAAAATTGGAAACACATTAATACATATATTCACGCTTTATAAATCCAGTCAAGCCTCTCTAACGGCTAGCAACCCAATGGTGTGTTCATAACATATATTTCATTAATATATATACAACAATTAATACTGTATTTCGATAACTAGTAAACCAATCCTCAAAATAACTATCTATATATATTCATATCATTTTAAATGACCGTCATATACGCCGCCATTAATTTCCATTAACTCCTTATGACCATAAATTCAAATAAATTTTATCATCCTTTATACTATATTTGAAAGAATACACATTCATGGTTAAACGGTACAATCAAATACAGTACTGATAATACAAATCTTCTACTCATACGACATGAATAATAATTAGCTAAATACATAGAACTTTCATAAAATAACTCAGAATATAACTTTCATAGTTTTTATAAATTGAAAAATATTTTTTTACAAATCAGCACGTATATGATATATTATATTAATATATATAGATAAATATGCATAACTGGCCCTATATAGAGAATTACTTCTCTTGTTGTTCTCTATTTCCAAAACCTGCAAGACATATAAATTTGTTCAACACAAAATATAATAAAAGTGCTTATATATATATATATATATATATATATATATATATATATATTTATCGCACAAGTCCATACCTTTCAAGACACAAGTTTACTTTTCAAGAATAGAAAACCCAATTCTTATTTTTCTTTTCAAATATATATATATATATATATATATATATATATATATATATCATACACACTGATTTTATGAAACTATCAACTTTAGACTGTTGTGAGAATATTTTATGAAACAACACAAATACAATAAATCAATTCAACATTACACAATAAAATAAAATAATAAATAATTCATTACTGAATAATTTTGAATAATACATTAATAACACTTTGCAATTCTTTCAATAAAATAAATATAACAATATGAACAACATGGATATAAAGATGAAATAAGGGTTTAACAATATAATAATTTTGCAAGAAAATTAGTATAATAATAGAAATTATGAAATGAAAATAATATTAAAATAGGTAAGAAAGTGCTGGCATAATATAGAGAGGCACGTGATAAACATTCTGACCTAAAGCTGATAGTCCTCCCCCTCGTGTGGGTATTGGTGAGACTAGTCAACTCCAAGATACAACCCAATTTGTTCGCAGAGGAGACGTAAGACTAGGTCCAAGTCTACACGTGTCTCATTACCAATATGGAATACTTTTATAAGAGTCTCACCCATTTATATATCAACACTCATATATACAAAAATTAGAAAGATAGACAAAATATGGTAGGAGTCTCTGGATGTTTTTAGATCAATCACCCTCTGTATCTCAAACTAGCGGATGCATTATATATATATTGAAATAATGTGTAACCGCTAAGGTGAAATAATAATTCTCATAAAGATAATTTAATTATTATAATAAATATTATGTAACTCATATATACAA